CGGGTCCTTCTCCTACGTAGCCATGATGTTGTGATTGCTGCAGGATGTGGTCTGGCATTATCGTGTTGAAAAATGCAGGGTCTTCCCTGAAAGAGATGACGTCTATATGGGAGCATATGTTGTTCTAGAACCTGACCATAGTTCTCTGCATTAATGGTGCCTTTCCAGACATGCAAGCTGCCCATGCCACAAGCGCTCATGCAACCCCATATCAGTGATGCAGGCTTCTGAACGGAGCGTTGATAACAACTTGGGCTATCCTTGTCCTCTCTGGTCCGGATGACATGGCGTCCCAGTGTTCCATAATGAACTTCAAATCGTGACTCATCTGACCACAGAACAGTCTTCCATTTTGCCACACTCCATTTTAAATGACCCCTGGCCCAGTGCAAACGTCTGAGGTTGTGGAGCTTGCTTAGAAATGGCTTCCTCTTTGCACTGTAGAGTTTCAGCTGGCAACGGCAGATGGCACGGTGGGTTGTGTTCACTGACAATGCTTTCTGGAAGTATTCCTGAGTCCATTCTGTTATTTCCTTGACAGTGGCATTCCTGTTTGAGGTGCAGTGACATTTAAGGGCCCGGAGATCACGAGCATCCAGTAGAGTTTTACGGCCTTGACCCTTACGCACAGCGATTGTTCCAAATTCTCTGAATCTTTTGATGATGTTATGCACGGTTGATGATGACAACTTAAAAGTCTTTGCTATTTTACACTGGGTAACACCATTCTGGTATTGTTGCACTATCTTTCTGCACAACAATGGTGGAATTGGTGATCCTCTTACCATCTTGGCTTCTGAGAGACACTGACACTCTGAGAAGCTCTTTTAATACCCAATCATGTTGTCAATTGACCTAATTAGTGTTAATTTGTCTACCAGCAGGCAGCACGGTGGCACAACTGGTAGAGCTGCTGCCTCTGAGTGAGCAGGTCCTTGGTTCAAACCCCGGTCCAGGGGCCTTTCTGGGTGGAGTTTGCATGTTCTCTTCGTGCATGCGTGGGTTTTCTCCGGGTGCTCCGGTTTCCTCCCACAGACCAAAAACATGCATGTTAGGCTGACTGGTAACTCTAAATTGTCCCTAGGTGTGCATGAGAAAGTGAATGTTTTTTTGTCTCGTTTGTCTCTATGTGGCCATGTGATGGACTTGCGACCCATCCAGGGTGTACCCCGCTCCACGCACAGTGATTGCTGGACATGGGCACCGGCGACCCCCGTGACCCAAAATGGAATAAACGGAAAAGATAATGGATGGATGGTCTTCCAGCTGTTCATTATATGCTCAATTTCCTTTTTCCAGCCACTTATTGCTACTTGTCCCAACTTTTTTGGGATTTGTTGACACTGTGAAATTTTGAATCAACATATTTATCCTTTAAAATGTTACATTTACTTAGATTAAACTTTTGATCTGTCATCTATGTTATATTATGAATAAAATATTGACATTTGCCATCTCCACATCATTGCATTCAGTTTTTATTCACAATTTGTTTAGTGTCCCAACTTTTTTGGAATCCGGTTTGTAAAAATAAAATGTTTGCAGCAGGTAATGACTTACGTTGCTGAAGCAACACTGTCCAAGCAGTTTAAGTCTTGCTGCTCAAATTAAAATAATATGGCTTATGGTTCTTATGAATTTGTGTGCGTTTATAGTTAAATCTTAAAGCACTGATATTAAAGAAAATTATTCCATCTGTCCATCCATCTGTCAATGCTTCTTCCTTTATGGGTCACTGGTGCCCAATATATCCAGCCATTAATGTGCAAGAAGTGGGGGACACCCTGGACAGGTCTCAGTCCATCACAGGAACAACTAGAGACAAACAACCATTCTCTCTCTCACTCACACCTAAGGACAATTTAGAGTTACCAATCAGACTAACATGCATGTTTTTGGTCTGAGGGAGGAAACTGGAGTACCCAGAGGAAACCCACACATGCACGGAGAGGCCTGGCTGGGGTTTGATCCAATATCCTTCTTGCTGAAAGGCAGCAGCCCTATCAACTGTGTCACTGTGCCACCCCAGAAATTAATGAGTAAAAAAAAAAAAAAAAAAAAAAAAAAATATCCAGGAATATAATGACCTATATGAACTTCTACATAGATAGCCATTCAACAAGAAACAATAATTCAGTGTAAGGAAACTTCAAACCCTTTGTTAGAATTTATTGATCACAAAAATAAAGTTAGAACCATTCTGCAGACAACTCAGCATTTGTGATAAACTAAAATCTCTCATGAATGCAGAAGGTTTCCATTCATCTCACTCAGCTGTGAGGATAGACCACATATGCATGTGAATGATTACAGCGTTATATCAATATCAGATTAATTAAAGTGTCATATCAATCATTCATTAACAGATATAGATGTTACAATTCTGCCCTGACAAGAGTGTATATGAATAGATAAATATTCTATTTCTGGTGGAGCTTTTAAGAAAAGCAAAACACTTTTTAACTTGTCTCACATGCTCTGATTGGCACACCAATTTTTTACTTTGTGACACATCAAACACATCACATTTCATTTGAGACTTCACATTCAGTTTAAAACTTCACTTGGCACACGTGGGGGAAACGAGTGCTCAGATCAGTTGGAAAACTGAAGCAGCTTCCTTTTTGAGTGATAATTTTATTTATTTATTTACTTTTTTTTTTGTCTAATTGTTTGCTGTCTGCTAAGATCCTATGTTTTAAGACAGACTTTTGAGAAATATCTCAAGAAAAGCTAAGCAACCTCGGTCTATCTTTTTACACTGATCAGGATATACGTTACTTCTTTAACGCTAGGAAACAAAGATGCAGAGAGTGATGAATGAAGAATTGATCCATTTGAGCTAGTAATACACCTACATGTGTTTTATGGCTCAATACTAATTGGTTAAATTATTTTTTTCCTCATCTAAACTTTAACAAAATCCCAGCTGTTTCATAAAATAATTTACAGCAAGTGTAATATGCACACCAGGAACAAATTCTACGTTTATTTATACAGGTTAGTCTCATTGAGCCTCAAGGACTCATTTACAAGAGAGACCTGATTTAAACAAAGGACACAGATGAGGTACAGACAACAATAGACAATCATATAAAAGCATATAAAATGAAAATTAAATAGAATAAATGATCAAAACAAAAACAGCAACATTATAAAGTGATGTAAAAGACTAAAAACAGAAACGTCTGCGTTGTTTTTTTGCCATAACAGTTGCATCTTTATTTGTAACAGGTCGCATGCATTCTGTTTATGATGTGATGCAACTTGTATTGTAATCAATGTATTAATCCAGGGTGGCACAGTGGCTAAAGCTGTTGCCTCACAGCAAGGAGCTCACAGGATCACCGTCTGGCCTTCCTGTGGCATGTTCTTCTGCATTCATGGTATTTTATCTTGGTGCGTCAGTTTCCTCCCACAGACCAAAAAGATGAATGTTAGATAAAAGAGGAGTGAGTGAGTGAGTGAGTGAGTGAGTGAGTGAGTGAGTGAGTGAG